GGGTCCCGTCACTCTGGGTTTCCCCACAGGCTGTGAGCAGATGTCCCCGGGGGTGACCCTCACCGACAGCCTCATCGCCATGAGGAGCCTGCCTCAGCTAGTGGAGCCCCTGCACCCAGAGAGCCGGTGAGGATCCCCACAGAGCCCACCTTCACCACCCAGGCTGGCAGGGAGGGGTCTCTGGGCACAAAGGACACCCTGAACACCTCTCTTCCTCTAGATCCATGGAGCTGCCGTCCCCCTCGACTGTCCGCCTGGACCGGGAGAACATCTGTGCTATTGGGAGGCTCCAGAGCCTGCAGGAGATTCACAGCCTCTACCTGCAGCAGGTAAGGCACTATGGCAAGTGTGGGGCAGCAGAGATCAGCCCTGGTCCTGCAGGTAAAGGCCTCCTTGGGGGGACCACAAACACCCCAGTTCTGCTCCAGAGTTTTGTCTCCCCACACGGCCAGAGGGGCTGGCAGTGCTCCCCTCTGATGACAGTGCCACCAACGGAATTTGATTGAGGGTCTTGCACCAGCTATTTGCTGTTTTTAAAACCCGCATGAGGAGCCTTAGGGTCTTTCTGAACTCTGCCAGGCTCTCTGTGCCGTTGCAGCCCCATACCCTCTCCATAAAGGTCCTGTGGCAGTGGTGGGACATCATGTTGCCCCTGTGAGGTTGGAGCAATCCCGGGGTGCTCCCAAAGTCTGATTTTTCATACAGTAGAAAAACATGTTGCATTTTTGTGGTTTTGTTTCCAGAACCGTATTGAGAAGATTGAGAATCTGGGCTGCTTTCCCAACCTGCGGTATGGGCAGCTCCTGCTTTCTATGGTCAGAGGAGAGCAGGGCTCCCTCCTTCCCTTGGCAGAGCCGCGGCAGGGCTTATCCTGGTGCCACTGGCTCTGGTCCTGGGGGGCCGCGGCGTGACCCCCTGCCTCATGCCACTGCCCTCCCTGTGCTCTGCAGGTTCCTCTCCCTGGCTGGAAACTGCATCCGCAAAGTGGAGAACCTGCAGCCCCTGCGACACCTGCGTGTCCTGGACTTGTCCCACAACCAGATACAGACGCTGGACCCAGGTGGGAGGCAGGAACGGGTCCAGACATGGCCTGGGTCTGCCCGAGAGCTGCCTTGGGTAGCAGGGAATTGCCTGCAGACCCTTGGTCCAGGCTTTGCCAGGGCCACTGGCCCTCAGGTCGCAGCCAGAGCCCCAGCAGAGCCACCCTGGGACTGGCCTGAGTGTTCCAGCATAACACCAGAGATGCTCTGTGGCCAGGTTTGAACTGTCCCTTCTGCTGGCAGACTCCAGGTGTCTGCTTCCACCTTGTGTCCTGCTTCGGCAGAACATTTCAGTGGCTCAGACCAAACTTTGGGCATTACAACCTCATGGCAAAGCTGCTCCAGCCCTGACAGCCCTTCATGCATCTTTCAGCGAGCTCCTCCCGTGGGCGATTTTTGGCAGAAGAGGGAGGGACAGAGGGATAAGACCTCCCTCCATTCCTCTGTAGCGTTGCTATTGCGGCACCAGGCTGTCTGCTTGCAGATGGGGGTGAGAAAGGGAACAGCGAGGGCCTGGGAAGGGGAAAACCCTCAGTTCTCACATAGGAGTGTGTGTAATACATCCTCCCCGCCCTCCCTGCCTCAGTTTCCCCAGCTGGGAGGCGAAAGACTGCTTCCCACGGCGGGGCTGTCGCCTCGGGAGTGGGTGAAGAGCTGCAGGAGACAGGGGGTGCGTGAGTTTGGTGGAGGAGGTGGCTCAGGCCCCCTCTCAGCACCTTTCTGCCTTCCCTTCGATCTCTGCAGATGAGCTGCCCCGCAGCCTCCGTCTCCTCGACTTAACGGGAAACGAATGCACCCACCAACACAGATACAGGTGGGTCAGGGGAAACTGCGGGGGAGAGCAAGTCCCCCAAACCACACTCAGCAGGGTACAGCACCCCCCCAATATGAAATACAGCCTGAGCCCCCCACCCAACGCCCCAAAATCTGAATCTCTGTCCAGGTGGGGCTGTGGGGTGGGCGGCATGGAGCGGTGCCGGGGGTTCAGTGCCACCCCAAAGCACACCCAGCCCCAAGATGATGCTGCGTCGTGAGGGAACATCTGCTCTTCCTTTGGTGCTTGCAGAGAGCTGGTGGTGGGAGCCCTGCCCCACCTCCTGCAGCTGGATGCCTGGCCCATCTGTGGCGGTGTGCGTGAGGAAGAGGAGGAAGGAGGCTCTTCCAGCAGTGAGGATGAAGACATCGAATCGCTCTCTGAGCCACGCGGCCCTTTCACTGAAGGCAAAGGTGCCCAGACTGAAGCAGGACATGTTGCACGCTTGGGGGTTAAGCAGGCCGGTCCCTCTGTCCCCAAGGGTGACAGGAGTGGCAGGGAGTTTGGGTGGCCCTGCTGGGCCTCCTGTAATTCTTCTCCCTCTCCCTTCCTCCGTCCCCGGCAGATTTCTTTGTGGATCTGCATTGGGAGCTGGCCAGGCGCTCACAGCGGAGGCGGAGGGAGGCCCTGAAGGAACACCAGACCCGTCTGGAAGAGCTGGAGGAGCTGCGGGAGCGCTGGGGTCTGCTGCTGCCTCCTGCGCCACTGCGCCCAGGCAGTTCTCAGCCCCGTCCCCAAGCAAAGCCGGGGACACAACTGCCACCCCTGCCCGGACCCGGCAGGCAGCACGCCTGCCTGCAGCCCCAGCGAGCTCCCAGCAGGATCCAGCCCCGGACCAAGGCCCTGCAAGGAGAGACTCGCGCCGAAGGAGCAAGAAATAGGAAGTTACCCCAAATACCCCACACCAGCACGGCACCGCGCAGCTGGGATTAAAGCCTCTTTATTCCTACATCAATCTGCCTCTTTGCCACGGAGCCGCCAGCCCCACGGCCAGCCCCAGAGGGGCCGGGCACAGGCAGCTCTGCCTGATGGTGGGAAAAGACACGCTCGGCCATGGGCAGGACTCCAAATCCTGCTCCACGTCCCTCTCCTTCCCCCTGCACCCGTGTTTCAGGCCATGGCCACCTCTCAAAAGTGCCAATTCCTCCGGGGCAAGTTAGGGGGCTGGGGGCTCCATACCCCCAGGCAGGGCTGGAGAAGCCAGTTGAGCCGTTCCCCACCACGCCGTCAGCGGCTGATCCGCAGCGGGGGGAGGCAAGGAGCCAGGACCGGGCACTGGGAAGGTTTTCTCATCCCCCGTCCAGGAGCAATGCCACAGGGGGCTGAGCCCACCCACCCGCGTGGGGTTTATGTGTAAAACTTCATCTCTGCCTCCACGCAGTCGAAGAAGAGATCGGCCAGCTCCTCTGGGCGGGGGGCCACCGTCCCCCCCAGCAGTGCGTTCATCCCCTCCAGGCCCTGCTTCTCCAGCTCCCGCAGCGTCTGCAGGAGCTTCTGGCCCCGCTCCTGGTGGGGTCGGGGAGGGAGGAGAGCTGAGACCGGGCGTCCTCAAGGAATTCGACAGCCTCCCACATCACTGGGGAGAGCCAGGGTCCTGGGGCAGTGGCAGCTGGGGAAAGGTCTGTGGTACCTGGTCCCTCTCCATCAGCTCCAGCGCTG